TTCATTTTTATATTGCTCATTGCAAGTGTGTAGAAATACAACTGATTTTTTATTGTCTTTGTACCCTGTAACTTTATTAAACTTGTTTATTAGTTTTAATAGCTTTGCTGTAGATTTTTTAGGATTTTATATATATGAGATCATGGCATCTGCAAACAGAAATACTTTTTCATTTTCCTTTCTCATCTGGACACTTTTCATTTCTTTTTCTTAATTTTTTTGACTAGAAGCTGGAGTACAATATTAGAAGTGTCAAGAGTGGGCATCGTTATCTTGTTCCTGATTTTATGTGGGGGAGGAACACATTCACTCTTTTATCGCTAAATGTGACATTAACTGTGGGAAGGGAGTGTTCAGTACTTTAATCATTGATGAAGTTCTTAGGAGTAAAAGATTTGTGCTTACAGTTCTTAGTGGTCAAAGATGGTTACTGAATTATATTTGACAACTAACCTTATTTTGTTGATAAAGCTGGTGGGTGGGCTCTGTAGAAATTGATTGTAAGGATTCCATTAAGCTGAAGAACAAATTTGGAGCGTGATTGGCAGTGCTGCTCTAGGAAGATGGGATGTCTCTATCACTTTGGGAATTTTTTAATAAGCTAAAGAAAATAGGTAGTTGTGATAATTGATTATTGTCAGTGAGAAAAGAGGGCAAGCATGTAGGAGTGAATCACATCCTTGTAAAAGCATTTACATTTCAATTCTTCTCAGTTTGAGCAACAGTTATTTGAAATTACTGTCTCTACCACTTAGAGGTTCTTCATCTCATCAACCCCTTTTCTTAGCTCTTACTTATATCTGCCATTTACATCATCAGTGATAACTTAAGGCTTGACACTTTCGGAAGTTCCACAACCATACTGCATTTAGTTAATTGGTTATTAATGGACAGGGAAATTATGAATATTTGCTCCTTTTCTGGCTTGTAATGGGTTATTTTAAGAGACTTTAAGGATGGTATCAATGTTTCCAATTGGTTGGGTTATTGAAGTGACAAGTAATTTGGTTCTATGCCCTTGGGAATAATAAATTGCTGTGTGAGATTTTCCCAATGATAAAAGAAACTTTCTTAATATTCAAAGCAAGTCTGTCTATTTAGGAGTTTGCAGTTGTTATTATGGTTACTGTTACTATTTTAAAGGTCAGATTTACATGAGGGCAAACTGAAACCATAGTCTTTTCCTTACATCCCAGCCATTCAGGCAGATTCACCAAAGAAAATGGTATGTGGAAAGTGCAATTCTTAAAGCTTTTCAGGCTATCTTGTTAAGTTCCTTTGGTTTCACATCTTGGAATTTAGTAGAGGATGAAATGAACAAGTATGTATTTAAACCTATAAACATTTAACTTTGCTGCCATCTAGAGGCAGGTATTTTATAATGCGATCTTTAATAAACTCCCAAATGCTGCTTCCAAAGATGTGGAACAAAAAGGAAAAGGTGGATGGTTTGTTTGTGTATAATTCTTATGTGCCTTCCGTAGCATTGCATATTTCCTAGGGGGTGCTCAGCATGCATTATGAGATTAAAAGATATTTGTCTGCTACTAAGTGAATCTGAATTCTGCTAGAAGCTGCCAATGGATTACCTCTTGACTGAAGTTGGCTGCATATAAAATGCTGAGGATATAGAATAATCTGAATAAAATACAGGTACCAGGATCTTATTTTTTAAAACATGATTAAGAATTTAAAAGCAGAGTTTAGTGGGAAATATTGGTTTACCAAAATCTGTGTCAAAATACCTCCATAAGAGTTTTAGTTACAACAGCTCATATGTGGTTCAGTGAATCTGCAAGCACGAAAGTGGCCCTTCAGGTGAGGGAGTGTCTCACAGGTAGTTCCATGGAGAGCATCTAGCATCTTCTCCAGATGTCTAATCTTTTGAAATAGAATACAAATTGACATCCCTTATCCAAAATGCTTAGGACTAGAAGTGTTTCAGATTTTTTCATAGTTTGGGATATTTTCATATACATAATGAGATATCTTGGGGACTGGGCTTAAGTCTAAACATGAAAGTCATTACGTTTCCTATACACCTCAAACATACAGCCTGAAGATTATTTTATTTTATAAAATACTCTTAATAATTTTATACATGAAGCACAGTTCGTATATATTGAACCACCAGAAAGCAAAAATATCAGGTGTGGAAATTCTCACTTGTGGCATCATGGCAGTGCTCTAAAATTTTTGGATTTTGGACTGTTTTGGATTTCATATTTTCAAATTTGGAATACTCGACCTGTATCATAACTTTAGGGCTGGAGCATCAAGCCATGGCATAGCAATTTGAATGTATTGGAAACTTCTGTGGCCTAAGAGTTATAATTGACCATTTCTTAGAATTTTTAGCAGTGTTCTAGGTATGGTTCTGTATGGTTTACTTCATGCTTCTGAAAACATCAGTGTACTTTGTCTTTTTTCCATGTTCTAGAAACCAAGAATATTAGAAAAGATGAATCTCAGGAAATTAGTTGTTTTATGGAAAGATTTATCACAGATATTCTTAAAATCTTCTTTAGAAGTTTAATTAACTTTTATACTGATGATAATTTTAAAGTGTTATCTGCTTTGTATAGCATCCAGTTCATAATGAGACATTTTAATCGTGAACTAATTATAAATTGTAAAACATGAACCACTACTTCCTTAGCAGCTTCATAAACTGTTACTTGATTGTTCAGAAGACTAGTGTTTATATATATATATAATATTTTATTTTTTCTCTGAAAAGCTCTATATATGCAAACCTTTATTAAAAGTATTTTTGATCCAATTTAAGCTGCAGTTCTGTTTATGTCATATTATATGCATTCAGGCAGACTATATATTTTACAGGATAATTTGACAAATACAGCATTATTTATTTTAAGATAATCTATTGAAAAATTAGGTTTGATAATAAGTTTAGCTGATGTAAAACTGACAGTGTAAAATAATTGTAAAAGGGAAAATGCTACATTTTGATACAGTATCAGTACTGTTTGAACAAGAGAAGAAAAGTTCTTAGAATATAACAAAAATGGCTTGAAAACGTTTTCTGAAATGAACATGACTGTGTATGATTTGTTTGTAGTGAGAAAAGCATGAGATCATTGTTTTCAGATAAAACCAGTGTTTATCTGTTGGCAATCATAGCACATGTAACCAGTTGATGCGTAGCTGAATCCTCCCTGCCTACCCAGGCAGAGGAGATGGCTGGATGTTATTTACATTAGAAAATGGTTTCAAATTGTGTTTCTTCCTTGATTTAAAATAGTAAAGTACAGATATGTTATGAGTGACTTTTCAAACATGTTTTCTAACTTTATTGCAGGAAGAGGTTGTCGGAAAGATTAGTTTAGTGGACGAGTCTGTGAATTAAAATCCCTGTGAATGAAATGAAAATGCTTAAATAAATTTTTTTTCAATGTAATGTTCCATATAACCTGTGTCCTGTAATTCCATGGAAAGCCTGTCTTAATTTATGGATAAAAACATAAATGCACATATGAACTTGAGATTAGGTTAGGAGCATATAAATTATGACTTTGTAAAGATTTTACTTTCTCTGAAATGAAAGACCTGTGTTATCTATCTAGTTCAATCCTTTTGCTCATCACTTCCCTCCGTTTTGAGTTCTTCCTACTCCTTTGCTAAAATGTTGGCTATTCAATACTCAAATCAGTACTGCCACCTTGTGATACTTTTTCTTAATTTCATCTGGCCAAATTCTTATTCCCTCCCTTGGGTACTTCTTATCTGTGACTTACTGATTTGGTCTTCCTTACATTCGCACATCTTTTATCCCCTTGTTTTGATTAGAAGCTCTTCCAGGGTGGGATCTATGCTATTACACTTTAGTCCTTATCTTAGTGGTCTATTCTGAATATTTCTTCAATGCATTTGAATAGCAGAATAATTAACATGACTGATGTCCATGATCAGCCTCAAAAATTAAATTCCTGTCTACCAAAAAGGAAATGAAAATCCTTTTGTGGTTTCTGTTTTATCATCATAAATCTATTGCCTGCCTTGCCAAAGCCATTGAAAATGTATTAGTTTGAGGAATTAGAATGAAATATACTTTAATGACCATTAAAACACATTTTCATGGTTTCTTTATCTCTTTATCTTTGCAGCTTTTGTCATTTCTTCAGGGTTTATTTACATTTTACCACGAGGGATATGAACTTGCCCAGGAATTTGCACCATATAAGCAACAGCTGCAGTTCAACTTGCAGAATGTAAGAGTATACCTGTTCTTACTGTCTCTCAGCAAATCTGATGTTACAGGGCAACTAAGTTATAACCAAGTCAAACCTTGGTATCTTTCAAATACTTGCCTACGTGCAGTAAAACCTCAAGAACTGGGAAAACACCTTTATAAATGTATTACAATTGTTTTCTAGCTACTAGTAGGAAATACACCCCACAAAACCCTAATCTTATGTTACAAAAATTTATACTAGCAAATTTTATAAAAATAAATGCTACCCAGCTGCAGACACCTGAAAGTTTTTTGCCTTCATTCAGTGTTCTTGCTAATTTACTGGGTGATGCAGGATGAATAAGTTTGGAGAGCCAAATTGCGGTATGGTGGCTATAGTTAATAATACTCTGTTGAATACTTGAGATGTGTTAAGAATTTAGGACTTAAATATTCTCAGCATACACAGATGGTAACTATGTGGTGATTGATAACTTGATTGTGGTAATTTCATAATGTATACACTTATTAAAACATCACATTATACATGTTAAATATACAATTTTTATTTGTCAGTTATACCTCAAGAAAACTAGAAAAGAAAATACTGGAAATAAGAAAATAAGACCTTAGAGAAGTCTTATTTTTAAGAACAAAATTTCTATATTTGTGAAATGAAGGATTGTACTTTGATATCAAATGTTCCATCTTTCTTTGAAATTGCATATAAAATATATACTGTTTATTATTTTCAAATAACAGGTTTAAGGCATTTAGAATAATTGCTTTAAAACATAAGCAAGAGATCTTTTTGTAGTTCGTGGGCATGATGATCGGGTGTCCATGTGCACGTGTGAGATGTGCAACCCTCTGTACCTTCTTAAAATCTCAGCACATTACCTGACTTGAAAAAAAAGAGAGAAAAAGAAAATATTTTATAAAGTGAGAATTATTTCCAAATAAGCCATCTATTTCTATCAGAATTTATTTTGTGAAGTTGTCTGATCAATCCTTTTAGTCTCTAATTTTATAGTTATACAAATTCTGATGCTCAAATTCAGAGCAACACTTGCGTTGAAGTGAAAACACACCCAAAATTTTAGCCCGCCCATTTCACATTATCAAACCTGACAAATGACGATGTTCTAATTGTTGAGGTTTTACTATAACTGAAACCGTGACTGCCAACCATTATATAGCTAAAATAACTTGGAAAACCTTCACTTAATTTTCTATAAAGTGTGGTTTTCTGCTTATCTGGTTCTTGCCATTGTGGAAATGTCCAGTAAATAAAAATACAGTTAGAATGTCCCATACGAAATAGTTAAGGGGATTTATTAATTTGTGTTTTGAGTTTCAGTTTTTATTTAACTTGCAGAACCAATTTCATCTTTAATTCATTCCATTGTTTTTCAATATGGAATGTATTTAGACATTTTTAGCCACTATTAAAAGGGAAAATTATAAAAGCTGAAATACTTTTATCATTTACTTCCATGTTAAATAAAATTACATTAAGATTCTTAGGATTCAGGAACAGAAGAAAGGTAAGGAATTGGGGGAAAATATCAGACCCTTATAATTGAAAGACAAAAATAGTGAAAGTGACAAGAAAATTTTCCTAAGTTGGAGATTTTTTTTTTTTTTTTAAATGGGGCACAAACTCTTACTAAGAGTCAGGTGGTGGTGATTATTATATCTTCAGAAGTATATTTTTGAGGTAATACAAAAGAGGTATCCAATGAGAAAAGCCTGATTCTTTCTATAGCATAAATAAACTTAATATAAAGTGAGTAATCTATTTCTTGCAACAGAAGAAGTTAGAACTTGGAAATCTATTGATTTATATGAGTTATTTTAACACTCACTTCTTAATACCAGTGCCAGAAAACCAAGCTACATGTTGTTTCTTCAAAAATAGCCTTTGGTACAGTGGTGACAAACTTTTTTTCTTCACATGTTCAATGTCACATATATAAAAAGTATATGAACTTACTATGTTTTTTCCCTTGAAAGAAGCTAAGTCCCTGTGTATCTGTTTCTTAACCTTAAGTATTTAGCGAATTCAAATTTTATGTAGTGCATCGTATTTTATTTTAATTGCCCTAGTTTACCTCCTAAGTAATAGTGTTAGAATGTGAAAATAGAAAGTCACACACACACACAGAAAGACAGAGAGAGAGAGAGAGAGACAGAGAGATTCAAAAAGAAACACGCAGAAGGTTGTTCAGAGAAGCTTTTACGAAATCAGTTCCCTATCAGACCTTGGACCCAACACCAGAAAGTCACAGATGTGATGAATAGTGCCAAAAGAATCAAGGTCATCGTTGTACAATTTGAGGTTTTGAAACATTATTCTGGGCTGGTCAGGTGGCTCATACCTGTAATCCCAGCATTTTGGGAGACAAACAAATTGCTTGAGCCCAGGAATTTGAAACCAGTCTGGGAAACATAGTGAGACCCCCATCTCTACAAAAAATTAGCTGGGTGTGGTGGTGTGTACCTGTAGTCAGCTGCTTGTGGGGGCTGAGGCAGGAAGATCACTTGAGCCCAGGAGGTAAAGGCTGCAGTAAGTCATGATAGTGTCTGAGTGACAGAGTGATACCCTGTCTCAAAAATAAATAAAAACACAACAAAACATCAGTCTGGGTGTTCCTGAATCCTGGTAGAATACAATGACTGAAATTATTGTTTCTGTTGACTTAAGACAAGGAATAATTTTGAAAGTACTCGACAAGAGGTAGAGCGGTTGATGCAAAGGATGAAATCTGCCAACCAGGACTACAGACCACCCAGCCAGTGGACGATGGAAGGCTATCTGTATGTCCAGGAAAAACGTGAGTCACAAAGACATAACTTCACGTCTCTTAGACTTAGCATTCTATTAATATTTCCATGAGATGTGACTTGGTTAGTAGTGTTTCCTTCAAGTAGGAAGACTGAAATTTCTTATAGCTTCGTATCTACTTTCCCACTACCACCACCAAAGTGAGGATGTTTTTCTACATTTTGTCATCAGGATGTCTAAGTTGGCATATTGTTGAACTTGGAACTTAGAGTCTTTGCTGACAATACCATATAACATGAGTTCAGTTTTAGCATTTAGTTGTGATACTTAATCTCAACTTAAAGTTTCATGGAAAATTGCAAACCAAAGCCTTTATTGGGATGAATCATCCTAGTGATTGTGATAATAGTTTTACCCTGTGGCAACATTATTTTATTTAATTCTGTGCCTTGTCTGTTTACAGGCGTAAAATTGGAAATCATGCTAACGTCAGATTGGCTCTCTTTAGTTCCTGAGGTTCGGCAATAAGTACCAAAGCCTATAGAGCACTGTTGTAATTGCCTCACATGAAGGACATTTTTCTCACAAAAATAATAAAAAGCCATTCAGACTTGTATAACTGGACTTCTTTGTGCATGCTACTTGTCATTAAGCGGAACTGGCTGGGCTATTTTGACTACATTAACTCTTTCAAACCAGATATGCCCTGAGGCATCATTCTTCTGCTGTTTTTGGTGAAGAAACAGTTTTGTGTGTTTCCAGTCCATTGTGGACCAATGTGAAAGGCTTTTGATATACTGTATGTGCAACATGGTGACTAAAATGCCAGCACATTTTATATTTGACATGCCCAAGTGATGCTCATTTGTTGGGTAGCAGGACACATGCAAATTTAATTTGCTCCAGCAGACTCTGCAAACGTTTATTACCATGTGGACTTGATGGCAGAGGAATACTGGCTCAGGAAATCTGGGTTTTAGGATTTTTCCCTCATAACTATCTACCTTGGCCAGCCTACTGTCTTCATATCTAAAAATGATAAAACAAGTGATCTGCCTAGGTGCTCTATAATTAGCGCATAATAAGGAGCTTTCACCCACCCCTGCC